CCTCAGTCCACACTCTTGGCCTGTACCCCTCAGTCCACACTCGGCCTGTACCCCTCAGTCCACACTCTAAGCCTGTACCCCTCAGTCCACACTCTGGCCTGTACCCCTCAGTCCATACTCGGCCTGTACCCCTCAGTCCACACTCTAAGCCTGTACCCCTCAGTCCATACTCTCGGCCTGTACCCCTCAATCCACACTCGGCCTGTACCCCTCAGTCCACACTCTGGCCTGTACCCCTCAGTCCACACTCTCGGCCAATCACACTCCACACAGACACACATCCATCTGAGTTATTCCTGAAGAGTGGGAAGTTGTACTCTGTAAATATTATTTTCTAATAAAAGACAGAATATTAAAAACAACCTTAATTGTATTGATATAGTGTCTAGTTGAAGAATGATGGTTCCCCATCCAGCTGTTGAAAAAGAAGAGGCACCTGAACACAAAAGATCAAGAAAGAAAGCAATTGAAGAAAGAACTTTTGGAGGGCTAGAGACATGGCTCAGTGGTTAAGCACTGGCTGCTACCTTTTTTTGTTTGGTTGGTTTTGAGACAGGGTCTCTATTATGGAGCTCTGGCTGTCCTGGAACGTGCTGTATAGATCAAGCTGGCCTCGAACTCACAGAGATCCACCAGCTGCTGCCTCTCAAGTGCTAGGATTAAAGGTGTGCACCACCACACCAGCCTCTGGCTGCTCTTCCAGGGGAACCTAGGTTAAATTCCCAGCACCCATATGGCAGCTCACAATCTTCTGTAACTCCAGTTCCAGGGGTCCTTTGCCATCTTTTGGCCTCTAGAGGCACTACATGAATGTAGTACACAGATGTGCTGACAGGCAAAATATCCACACCCATAAAATATAAAACAAAACAAACCTTTAAAGATGTAAAAAAAAAAAAAAAAAAAAAAGGAAGGAAGGAAGGAAGGAAGGAAGGAAGGAAGGAAGGAAGGAAGGAAGGAAAAAAGTTAGTTAAGGGTTGACCACCATGGACATTATGCTGCAGGTCCACCCCCACTCCAGTCCTACTATACTAAACTTCACAGGGTTTAATGTAAC